AAGAAGAAGAAGAAGAAGAAGAAGAAGAAGAAGAAGAAGAAGAGGAGGAGGAGGAAGAGGAGGAAGAGGAGGAAGAGGAGGAAGAGGAGGAAGAGGAGGAAGAGGAGGAGCTGAAGGAGGAGGAGGAAGAAAAACAACTACAATAAAATGAACAGAAATATTTGTATCGACATGACGTATCAGTACTGCAAGTGTCGTAAAACACTCACATAAATCTTGCCCTCATTTGAATGTCAAGAAGAAGACTAAAAAACCCCCAACCCAATCAACCAACCAACCAACCAACCAAGCAACTAACCAACCGACCAACCAACCAACCGACCAATCAACCGACCAACCAACCAACCAACCAAACAAAAAACACACAAAGAAACAAGAGACCCCTAGTGTTACCTTGAGGCTGACTCGCTCGGTGTAGGCGGGGACACATTGCAGATGTTGGGAAGAGCAGCAGCCGCCACAACGCTCCATGCGCGTGCATTGTGGGAAGAAGACGTCATTCGGGTCAGCGTTGGGCATCTCCAGCCTGACGGTCATGTTGCGAGGGGAGCAATCGTCTGGCTCAGCCATACGACCTCCTGGAGCAGGGAGGGAAAGCATGGAAGCGATTTACAATCTTTAAAAAAACGACAAATGCAGTTTTTGGGACACCTGAATAGACATAAAAGTCTTGAACATCTAGCTCTCACTGGCAAAATTGAAGGCTAACGAGGCAGGGGTAGGCCCAGAGCAACCTACTTAGGGAATCTAAACAAATGGGTAACGGGGAAAGATCAGGGAAACGTAGCGTTTTTAAGAGCATCCGAGCAAAGGATTGAATGGAGAAGCATGATCGCCGATGTCTGCCACAGATTTGGCATTGAATGATGATGAGTAATTGTTTCGATTGTCATCTAGCCAGTCAGCCTCGAGAGCCCCATAACACCAAGTACTCAGAGTATAAAGGATGAGGTAGACCACGCAAAATATGGATTGAGGGAGTCAAAGAAACCCTGAGAAATTATAATGTCTCAACTGAAAGAGCTGCAGAGCTGGCCTACCACAGAACACTGCATCCCCCGCCCCCTCGACGCTCAACGGCAACAGAGGATGAAGAATTAAAAAAGTAAGTAAATAAGTAGCTAAGGAAATTCACTGTATTAACCCAACGTATTATATATTCAAACCTGCTCTAACCTTTAAAAGATAATCACCAGTACAAACGGCCACTTTCCATATCCCTCTTGCGTTATTTATATTATAATGGCATAGTGTAATGCCTCCACCTGTCTAAGACGGTCACTTTTCGCCAATGGGTGGCTAACTTCAGACAGCATCGACGGTATTTATAAGGGATACGAGCAAAGACGAGCGAAATAAATTGGATCTCAAAGCCATAGCAAGTAGCAGCAGGGAGGGCCTACAAGATCATGACCACCACCGCCACCACTCCTTGCATAATAACTGGACAAACAAAGACAACAATAATAATAAAATCGATGATAAAAACATACATGAAAGCGACAACAGAACCAACCAATGGAGAACAGCTACAACAAATACATGAAACGAACGAACCCTACATAATCTTGATATTTCCACAACGTCACCCATCTCTTTAGACTCTCCAAGTGAGTTGCTGTGGTTCTATCCCTGTCTCGTTTGCTTTTAATTTTGCCAGTAAGACCGAGATGTTCCATCCTTAATGTCTATTCAAGTGTCGACAAGCTGAATGTACTAAGCCCAGAAAGCAAAATTTTACAGGAGAGAGAAAAAAAATTCCTTTTTAAAAAAACACTGTTCGTATTTTGTCTTTTTTTCCTCTCAACATTTAGAATTTTGAATTTCGAAAAAAAAAAACTCCTTGAGCACATGCAACCGATATCATGGATTAAGAAACTAAAATAAAATAACATTTCAAAATTTATTTTTAGCCTTAGAACATTCAAAAAGATTGTGGTCGATTTGTCTTGTCTTGATTGCTAGTAGTTTAGGAATGAATCAACTCACCTCCCTGGATGACTTGTTTTCCTGACTCGCTATCGTATTCGCTGAAAACTGGGGAAGACAAACAGAGCGGGATGAGAATTAAAGCAAAATTCAGCTAATGATTATACCTTTATTCTTAAACGGCTGTTCACAAAAAGACAGCCACAGCTAGACAAAATCCAAAACACAAACATAAATTATGTTTACAAATTATGTACGCTGTTCATAGACACATAATTTAATATTTGAGGTTATACTCCAGTTTGTAAGTACCCAGATGTATTTATTTTCCTCTTCACAAACACACAGTGAACGAAAGAGAGAGAGAGAGAGAGAGAGAGAGAGATAGGATAGA